ATATATATACATTAGTCTAATATACTTATATACATATTCTTTGGATGAAATGTTGGAACGTGTTGCGGGCAATGAATTCTTTTGTTGTTTGGATGGGTTCTCCGGCTATTTTCAAATAGCTATCTCTCCTGAGGATCAAGAAAATACAACATTTACATGTCCTTTCGGCACATTTGCTTATAGAAGGATGCCCTTTGGTTTATGCAATGCTCTCGGTACATTTCAAAGATGCGTAATGGCAATATTTGCGGACATGGTGGGAGACTTCATGGAGGTGTTCATGGATGACTTTTTCGTGTTTGGAAACTCTTTTGATTCATGCTTACATTCTCTTGAAAAAGTATTAACCCGGTGTGAAGAAACTGACTTGACTCTCAATGGGGAGAAATGTCAGTTTGTGGTGACCGAAGACATTGTCTTGGGGCATAAAATCTCCCCTCAAGGCATTGAAGTTGATCAATCTAAGGTGGACGTTATTGAAAAATTGCCACCTCCTCATTCGGTAAAAGCCATTAGAAGCTTCTTGGGGCATGCCGGTTTTTACCGACGATTCATCAAGGATTTCTCTAAAATCGCAAAACCACTTTGCGATTTACTTGCCAAGGATGCCACTTTTGAATTCTCTCAATCTTGCCTACTAGCTTTCAACACTCTCAAGAAGGCTCTTACTACGGCTCCAATAATCATTTCACCGGATTGGTCTCTACGATCTGAGTTGATGTGCGATGCTAGTGACCATGTCATTGGAGTTGTGCTTGGTCAAAGAAAAGAAAAGAAACTTCATGCCATATACTATGCATCAAGGTTACTTCATGATGCTGAACTCAACTATGAAACAATGAAGAAGGAGTTCATAGTCGTCGTCATGCCTTTGACAAATTCTGATCTTATCTCATTGCCCAAAAAAGTGATTATTTACACCGATCACTCCGCCATTCGGTACCTCATGAACAAAAAGGATGCAAAGCCACGATTAATCCGGTGGGTGCTATTACTTCAAGAGTTTGACCTTGAAATTCGGGACAAGAAAGGAAGTGAAAATCTTGTGGCGGATCACCTCTCTTGCCTTGAGCCAAATGCCACTACTAATATGGAGGCAATTCATGATGATTTTCCATATGAGCAAAATATGGAGGTGAAGGGAGTTCCCTTACCTTGGTTCACGGATTTTGTGAATTATCTTGCCAAAGAAATTCTTCCTCAAGAACTCACTTTCCATCAAAGAAAGATTTTTTTAAATGATGTCAAACACTACTATTGGGATGAGCCATATCCTTTCAAGCATTGTGCCGATGGAATCATACGACGGTGTGTCCCAAATGAAGAGATGTTACCTATCCTTGATCATTGCCATAATCTCCCAAAAAGAAATTTTTAAATGATGACAAACACTACTATCGAGAGTCTCGATCCTCCTCTTAAAGACTCGTTAGCACCATGGTCACACCAATTTCAATCACCACCGTCATCCATTTTTATGTGCAAAAAAAATGGCTTCTTGAACCCCCACGCCGTCTGTTTACAGTCTTCCACTGTTGTCCAAGAAGCCTTCAAGACCATATTGCCAGCTTTTATAAAGTTACCCTCACCATCCCTTCCAATCCAACCCCAACTACACCGTCCAACCTTGAGATTGTTTGTTGCATCAACAATAACTTTAATCCAACCAACTTGAGTTGCTGCCATTTTAAAGAGTGTTGAACCTGAGCTGTTCTCCCTGAACTCCTGCAACCATCTCTTGTAACTTTCCAGCAAGAAAACACAGTAAAAGTAGATCGATGTACTTCCTTATGTGAGAACACCTCCCCCCACTACATCATCTCAGGCCTTCCAAGTGCTCCAAGAGAGCATAATAATCCTGCAAATATCCTCCCAATCCACCTAATTAGAATTAGCTTGAAGCCACACCTCAATCGAATCCGCTTTAATTAACTCCCCCAAACTCAGGAGCGGAGCTAGAGGAGGGACCAACTTAGGCTATAGTTCATTCCAAATTAAAAAATGCTTTAATTTTTTAAGTAAGGAATTCGGGTACATTTTTTTCAAAAAAATGCTTTGTACTAGCCTAGTTCGACCCAGTATTCTGGCTCTACCCCACCCAAACCTACTTTCTTATCACTGTTGGACATTTCAAAAACAAATTGGAGGTAGTATCTGTTGGAAATATGATGATATAAACACTATTTTTAGGGTCACATTATTGTGTCCTAAGATATAATTGTATTAAATATGGAGAGGAGACTAATAATACATCAAAGAATAACTTACATATTTGGATTTAAAATTTGAATCCATAGTTGTAAAGATTGTAAAGTGATGTATTAAATCAATGAATTTATTTGTTCCATATTAGAGGCTAAATCATCTCGTATGATTATTTATAATCATTACTCCGTATATGATAAGGAACATTTTTCAAGTATCATATAAGGTGAAGTGACATTTTAATTTTCACTTGTATGTGCGCCTGACCGGGCATATTATAAGTGATGGAATTGATGTCGTAATTCTGGAGACTCTCTAATTGTGTGAACAATATAATGTAATAGCTGATAGGATTTTACGTTGAATTCAAATTCAAAATAATTATCCTCAATGCTATTAATAATGAGATTCATAATCATGGAGCCGTTTTGCCGTTTAATTCTCATGGTTTAATACTGCATTTGATTTCCGTTAGAACATCCTATGCGCCCGCTCCTTCAATTCTTTTCAAACGTACATCATTTATATTAAAAAGGTGAGCTAGTGATGTTTTGCAGGAGAGTAATATACTTCACGTAGCAGTAGCAAATAAAAGATTCTCTCTCCACACTCAATATACGAAATCTTTTTGTCTATTTGAGTTCTTTCATCTCTGACTTTTCTTTGACAATAGTTTTCATAAATTGTTCAAGTCATCTCTATTATTCGGCAAATTTGGTAACGGTCGAAGGTTTCAGTCAAGGTAGCTACGAGTCTGAAACGTGATAGGATTATCCTGGGAGTGAACTAGCCAGACCCATCCGAATAGCTATCAGGATACGGGGGGTATCTTTCTTCAAGGTCAATCCGTTTTAACGGACGATCCTGCGATAAGTTTTCTTATCCTTTCTATTTGTTCACTTTTAATTATTCTAACTATTGTTATTATTATTTTTTTCTGTTCTTGCATTTGGTGGTTTGTCCGATGATTTGTTTAAACTCGGGATTTTTATCTGGTAAAACTCGCATTTTTAATATCAATTATTCTAACAATGTCATCCTACAATATTAAAATTAATTATCAACTCATAATTAATTATATAAGATGTGAAATATCATGTGGTATAAATTATAATAACATTAGTGTTGATCTTGATATTGGAATTCAAAAAAAATATTGATATAATGTGAGATTTTTCGAAAAAGGAAAAAAGGCAATGCTTTTGAAATTGAAATGTAAGCGTACTTGTCTCGAAACAAAAGAAAAGTGCAATGGTACGTTTGGTTGGAGTGAATATCTTATATAGGTCGGAATCTGATGTCCGGGATGTGAGATACCTGAGTTTGGTTCGCGGGTTTGATTTTTTTTGGAATGTTACATTCCCAAAAAGTGAAAAAGTAATCACATGCCCTTCATGCGAAACCCACTTAGGCCTTAGGTTTTGTGACATTCTTGGTTGCTTTTTAATTTTATTCCACAAACACCCCTCTTCAATAATAAGAGGACATTCACTCGCCTTTGCTACTAATGTTCACTGTACTAATCTTTGTCATTTGTGTAATTAAACATATTTTGCTTAGAGTTATTTACTAATGTTCATCAATTGTAGTCATTTGTGCAATCAAATATACTTTTCTTATAATTGATTCAATTAGTCTTCATTTTAATTATTATTAAGATGTTTTATTTTTCTATAACTTTAATTACTTAAATTATAGGTTATAATAAGTTTAATGTGTTAAGAGACAAAATATTTAAAGGGTATTTAAGTAATTCACCAAATATGCAATATAAGATATGATTCAACCAAACAACTTAATGTCACATTCCCTTAATCGTAACCAAACACAAATGAGTTACACATTAATCATATTGTCACCTATCTAACATACCCAATAATCTAACGATCTCATGGTAATATGACATTCTTTGAACCAAATGTACCCTAAGGTCATGTTTACTTCGCTGTTAAAAACACAAGTAGTTTTGTAAGACATGTGAAGTAAACACGCATATTGCTCAAAAGACTGCTTACTAAGCATGTCACCTTCATATATTAATTAAGCGACATTTTAAGCTTTTTTTCGATTTCCGCAATTACCCTTACACCATACCCTACCCTGCCCTACCCTACCATATCATACTATACCTTACCCTACCCTACCCTACCCTACCTATCCTACCATACCTACCTTACCCAACCCTACCATACCATACAATACCATACTCTACCCTGTCATACCTACCCTAACATACCCTACCCTACCACTCTACCATACCTTCTACCCTACCCCTCCACACTACCCTACCCTACCATTCATACCCTACCCCTACCCCTACCACATCCACCATACCTCACCCTACCATACTCTACCTTACCATCCATATCCTACCTTACTCTACCATACCATATCAAACCCTACCCTACCCCACTATCCATACCCTACCCTAACCTACCCCTACCCCACCCTACCCTACCATACCCCCCCTACCCTACTCTACGCTACCCTACCCCATCATAACGTGTGTGTTTATGTATAAGGTTATTTAGGACATTTTAAGGTAAAGCCATATTTTAAGTCTGTGTGAAGTAAACATGTTCTTATGATGCTGCTTATATTAAGTGTCGCTTACTAACACATGTCTTAATAAGCACCGCTTAATAAGTTTCAAAGTAAACATGTCCTAAGAGTAGACCATACAAGCCATTTGATTACTCCATAATAAGGATCTACTTTGAAATTTTTCCTTACTCCTTATTACACGAAAACAATAGTGTGTAGTATCAAGTATAGAGTACTTTTTCCGCTAACTCTTTGTTTTCGGGTTTCTAGTTGAGTTCGAAGCCATTTGCACTTCACACATCACACATGCAACATTTCTTGAAGAGAAAACCCCTCCTCCTTAAACCCTAACAATTCAACAACACTTTCCTTCTGGTTTTGCTGTGAATTCTTTCTATCCTCTAAATCCCAGTTTTCTTTAACCCACCACAATGGCTTCTGTGACGAGTAAAGCCAACCCACTTCTCTCAACTCTACCCCACGTTCTGACATGGCCCAAATTTGCCTTCCGCACCATATGCAGTGGCCGCCTTGGCTTCGCCACCTCCACCCTGCCGTCACCATTTTCCGGTTCAGAATCTCCCGTGGCTGGTAGAAAGATTCTAGAATCATTTACAGAGGAATTCGAAATTGGTTCGCAGAAAATTACTCTCGAAACTGGGAAAATAGCTCGGTTTGCCAATGGTTCCGTGGTTCTTGCCATGGATGAGACCAAAGTCCTCTCAACCGTTGCCTCTGCAAAGGGAGACGCAGTCCGCGATTTTCTTCCGCTCACTGTATGTTAGTTTGCCGGAAAACAATCACCATATTCCAGATGTTATTTAAGTCCATCAGTCACTGCTTCCTGTCAAGCGACCAGCTTGAAAATGCCATTTCTACTTAAAAGCCTATTTTTTTAAAGAACATTGTGGACATAAATAACATATCTTTTTTTGGTAGTAGGTTAGATTATTATTTCTTGGAGAATTGCCTGGCTACGTTTTTTATTTAAATTGCAATTTGTATGCTTCAATAATAAAAATGGTGTAATATGGTATACAACTAGCTCTGATTTTTTTTTTTGCATCTCTCAAGGTTGATTACCAAGAGAAACAGTTTGCTCAAGGTTTAATACCAAGCTCATTCATGCGGCGGGAGGGCGCTCCAAAGGAACGCGAACTTCTTTGTGGCCGTCTTATTGATAGACCTATACGCCCCCTTTTTCCTGCTGGATTTTACCATGAGGTGCAGGTATGTTGTTGGTAATGAAATGCAGCTAGTGTAGCTAGTTTGTCAAACTTGTTCTGTTGGATCATATCATGTACAAGAGACCCATAGCTTCCCAGAGCATCCTTTAGTACACAGCTTTGATTTCATTGTCTCTGGTAGCTTAAGGCTATACGTATTAAGTATATTCCTCACAAAAGAGGCTATTTTCATTTGTTTGCATTTAATTTGGTATTAGAACCACAATTATTATAGCGTAATCATGACACACACTTTTGCTCTCAAAAAGGAAAACAACCATGTACAGAGAAGTTTACTATACAATATTTCAATCACCTAAAAGTCCAAAATTGCACCACATGCTATTGATCCTCGCTGTCTTCAACATCTTTTGTGTCACATGTTCCTGAATTTGTGTTAGTTAGTTTGTAAAAGGCTTGCCAACTTGACTAAGTTGGCTATCCTAAAAAACTTTACGACTCCCCCTTTACCTGGTTACAAAAACAGGGGATATGCCTTGATGTCACTGAGCTGCAGAGGAATAAAGGTATTCTAGTACCTTTGCCTCTTTAAAGTGGATTACTGCTAATGTTGTGGGGTTCATCAAGCCTCGTCTGACTCCCCCTTCATTTTCCTTCCTAAACACATAACAATAGTCATCTTTCTTCCTCCTTTCCATAGAAAGCCTTTCCATTGGTACATTCATAGCGTTTAGCATTTACCGGTTGTTGAGCAGCCCTCCATTAGCCACCAGCAGTCACCACTAGCCCTTCGTTAATGCTAGATAAGATACAATGGATGATCCTACAGTCCTACTAGTTTTATATTATCATTTAGAAACTTAAAATCTGAACTCTAAAATATGTTCTTATTGTTTTATATTATGAATTGGCATGCATATTTAAATATTTTTTCCTTTAATTTATAATATTGACTGATTATTGTTTTGTCTCTTTTTGAACAATATAATGTGTGCTTTGTTTCAAGACTCAACTTTTCATGTCATTGGATTATTATAATGACTTATCTATTTTCCACTTTTATCCTATTTTCTAGAATCAAGCTATACCTTTGGAATTATTAGTTACAAATAAGCATGCATTAAAAACTATTGTCCTTCTCTGTTCGCATCTAACTAGTTTCAAGTTTTCAATTGCTTCAATGTTGAATTAGTTTTTTCCAGGTTATGGCAAGTGTTCTTTCATCTGATGGGAAACAAGATCCAGATGTAATGGCAGCCAATGCAACATCTGCTGCTTTAATGCTGTCAGATATTCCCTGGGGAGGTCCCATAGGGGTAATTCGTTTAGGGAGGATCTGCGGTCAAATTGTTGTTAACCCAAGCATGGATGAGGTAGCGCTGTTTTCTATACAATTTTATTGTACAAGCTCTCTTTGTGTTTACTGATTGCTCTTTCCACCATCCTGATTGGTATCCAGCTTAGCTTGAGTGATCTCAACTTGGTATATGCATGCACAAAGGATAAAACTTTGATGATAGATGTCCAAGCACGTGAAATTTCAGAAAAAGATCTGAAAGCTGCAATGAGACTGGCTCACCCTGAGGTTAAAATTAATCACTGCTATAATTGCTTCTATGCTAGAATTTCCCTCTTTACTCATTATCATTTGTTTACAGGCTTGCAAGTATCTGGAGCCTCAAATTAGGCTTGCTGCTAGAGCAGGTAAGCATAAAAAAGAGTATAAACTTTCTATGGTGTCAGAGAAAACACTTCAGAAAATCCGTAATTTGGCCAAAGAACCTATTGAAGCTGTCTTTACAGACCCCACCTATGGCAAGGTAGACAATGAGATACTGTCATGTTAGATGACATTATAAAACCTACTACGTAGTATTTTTTTGTTACTGTTTCATACCGGGATTGTTTCCTCCCCCCTTGTAACATGTTCATTTTTATTGTTTCAGTTTGAGCGTGGAGAATCATTAGATAAAATTACCCAAGATGTTAAAAGATCACTTGAGGAAGAATGTGACGAACAAGCCTTAAATGTGCTATCAAAGATAGTTGACACAGTTCGGAAAGAGGTATGAATGCACATGTCAAGTCGAATATTTGTACATATCCAAAAACGCATGTTATGTTTTACTTTTTACTTTGTACATATCAAGTCATATTGATTGCTAAGTTGGAATCTATATTATTTTAAATAAATCCTCTGTTTTCAAAATTGTGATGTTGTACTACCTCTGTCCCACTAACAATGGGACATGAGGAGGTGATGCGGTTATCAAGAAAAGTGAGTTTGTGGTTGAAATTGATTTGATAAAGTGAAAATAAAGTAAGAATGATTTATAACCACACAAATTTTATCAAATTTTGTATGGGGCAATCTTAGTGGGACGGGCTGAAAAGGAAAGATGAGGCAATCTTAGCGGGAATGAGGGAGTAGCGTTAATGATGTTCGCGAATAAGCTCAACCTTAGAATTTACGGCTCATGTAATATTAAAAAGATAATGTATAGACAATAATTTTGTAACTGGACCAGCCATGGAAGATGGAACCAGTGTAGTAATTTTCCAATAGGTCAATCTGTCAAACCAGGAGCCAAAGTGGGTGTATTGAAAATCTAAATGTGTGCATGATCATGGTTAATGCTGCATCATGTTGATGACTGCAAGCTGAAATTTTTGGAGGTGTAGGAAAGACAGGTACTGGTTATAACTTAACATTTGAGATAGAAGCAAAGCAGGCAGTTGTGGAAAAGCCTTGTAGGCCCAATAATAATAGCTATGGAGTTTTTTCCAATAATCTACCTGATAGTGAATGCCATATGCTGTCTGTGATTACAAGTTTAGAGCTGAAGAGGGTGTCCCAAATTGCCAGATTATCTTTACTGCACGGTCTCTGGATAAGTCAAATTAGAAGCAACTTGAATCATCAGAGATGAGTTTAGATGTCATAAAAATGTAGTCCCACTCCGCCACTTATTTGTACATTGAGAGCTTTTTAGTCATAACTTGTTAGTGTTAAAATTGACTGTGCGGCTGTGCCCAAAGGCCCCGAACAAGTTTTTTCAAACACTATAATCACAATAGATAGATAAAATCGAAAAAAGAACAGCATGATTTTTAATACCAAATCTTGCTGCACCAGTCTACCTTAGACAAATGTCAAGGATCAGGATAATAGGCAAACAGGTCTCGAATCTCAGCGCGCTCCATCACTCCCTGATTGTGCTTCTAACCGTCTCAGCACTAGCAATGTTCAAGGTATACCGTATACGTCCACCTGCTTTGACCTGGCCACAATTCTTGCAGCCCCATATACAAGTTTCCTTTCTATTCACTGCATACTTCCCACAAAACCAACAGAAGAACATGCTATGTTGGCAAACCCATTTCTTTAATTTGTTAATAGAGACTAGCACCATACTGGGTACCATACTTCCCAACAGCGCAGGCCATGTTTGTCCATAACTCCTCATAGTCATTTTTGCTGACTGGCATTGAGGTCTCCATGAAGATGAGATAAAGTTTACAATTTTTTTAGAGAAGTCCCACATGGTCACTTCATAGTGTTTGAGAGGGGAAAACGAAAGAGTTGAGTCCTATATAGAATCGATGAACCTCTTTTCTCTTGATCAAGGCTGGTTTAACCTGTTCACTATTTTTCACCAGTTAGACGCGGCTGGTGTTTGTTTGACATGCTCAAGCTCTTTTCCAGTTCTATATGGGCATTCAGATGGGCCCTTTGGCCAATTCCCAGTTGAGCTGGTCATTCTTATGAATATCCCATTTGGGTGATATTATCTTCATTGGCTGATTTTAAGATAAAGAAAGAACCTAGGTTTATTGCTTTAAAGTGATTACCAACCATGCATTTTATTTCATATAGTGATTGTGACTCTCTAGTCTCTGACAATATCAGGTTGTTCGCAGAAGGATTATTGCAGAAGGGCTTAGAGTTGATGGAAGACATCTTAATGAAGTTCGACCAGTGTACTGTGAATCTGGTATATTACCTGCACTACATGGATCATCACTCTTTTCACGTGGAGATACTCAGGTTTGCATGCTCAACTTGTTTAGGCGCTATTTGCTTCTCCTATTTCATTTGAAGTTTGGATTTACTTGACCAAACATTGTTTTGATATGCAGGTTCTTTGTACTGTTACACTGGGAGCTCCAGGGGACGCTCAACAGCTTGAATCTCTAGTTGGTCCTTCAACAAAGCGTTTCATGCTACACTACAGTTTTCCTCCTTTCTGTATTAATGAAGTTGGCAAACGAGTTGGTCTGAATAGACGTGAAGTTGGACATGGTGAGAGAATATTTGAAAAATGAACGTGATAATACAACCCACCAATTGAAGTGGGTTGCACTCTTTTTTTAAATAGATACTCACTCAGCTCCGAATAATTCACTTTCTATAAAACTTCACACGCATTAAGAAGCCTTGAAGTATGACCATTCTACCCTCATTTAAAGTTAACATTAACTGCATTTCGGTACAAAAGTGTTAATTTGAGAAGATGATCAGGGGAATTTGGAAGACAAAAGTGTCAAATTGTCTGGGGCAGAACTACTTGTCTAAAGTGGCAATTAATTTGAGCGAGAGTATATTGACCTTATATAACTATTGTACAGTGTAATTTAATCTCTAAATGGTGTGCAGTGTTTTTTATCTTATACAACTGTTACAGAGTGATTATTTTTTAGAATTGTAAAATTAAAAAATCCTTATATTATATTAGGTACTCTTGCTGAAAAGGCTCTGTTAGGTGTCTTACCACCTGAAGATGATTTTCCATACACTGTTCGTGTCAATTCAGAAGTCATGTCATCTGATGGTTCAACTTCAATGGCAACTGTCTGTGGCGGTATGCTTTTTCCTCTATCAAAAGCTTCAACTGCAGAGCCTACATGTTTCAAAGTTATTAGGGTCCACTATGAAATTCCACTTTCCGGTGCTTAAACTTGTTTTAAATTTCTTTCTTCCTTCCCTCAAGCTATGGTGTTCAATTTTTTGCTTCTAAATTCCCTTCAATTCAAAGTATATAGGATATTTTTTGACGAATCTTCTGCTATCCTGCCTTTTCCAACTTTCAGGCAGCATGGCTTTGATGGATGCTGGGATTCCCATAAGACAACATGTAGCAGGTGTATCTGTAGGTCTTGTCACTGATGTTGATCCATCAAATGGAGATATCAAGGATTATAGGATAGTAACAGACATATTGGTATATAGCACGCATACCATGTGCACGCAATTTACTTATTATCGTAGAACAACCAGAGTCTGTCCCCTTTTCTTTCCAAAAAAACTCCATCTTCTGGTGATAATACGGCATGAGATGAAGGCATTGGGGGTATCTCTGCTCATGAACGTATTGTTTGCTCCAGGATTTTCCCATCATCTTTAGAATTTTAATTAACGTTTTATCTTAGTTGAGGATCCAAGCAGGGCCTTGATTGGACTCTACTTTCCTGAAACATGTTACTTTAACGGTTTAACCTTAGAATTTGGGCAATGGGTGTGGTTATGGATTGGATTTTGCTGTGTGTATAGCGATCCTCAATGCCGTGACATTGTTTTTCAGCTGTTCAGTTTTAGTTGTAATGAGTTTATTTTTCATTTGTTTTCCCTTATATATAATTGGTATGTAATGCTTCTTGTATTGTTGTTAAGGGTTTGGAGGATCATCTAGGTGATATGGACTTCAAAGTTGCTGGCACTCGTAATGGAGTAACTGCTATTCAATTGGATATAAAGCCCGCAGGAATCCCCCTCGACATCATCTGTGAAAGTTTAGAACATGCACTTAAGGGTCGACTACGAATCCTTGAACATATGGAGCACGAGATTAATGTTCCACGTATTCAAGATGAAAAGTATTCCCCTCGTTTGGGTTAGTAGGCATATTGTTCTTGATATTCGTGTATGCTCTTTTATTTACAGAACTAGGCAGCACCTAACTTGGATATTTATGTGTGCATCAATATTGATGCTTCAATGTTACAGCATTTAACATTAGATTGCAATTCGTAATCCATAATCTTTATTGATGGCCTTCCAGCCACTTTAAAATACAGTAATGACGTGCTTCGCCGTTTGATTGGTCCTCTTGGTGCCCTGAAGAGGAAAATCGAAGAAGAAACTGGTAAGTATACAAGTGTAAACCATGATTTATGCGTCACAAAGCTTTGTAGTACATGTTCTTTATGAATGCTAATGAATTTCATTCAGGGGCACGAATGTCAGTTAGTGATGGAACCCTTACAATAGTTGCTAAAAACCAATCTGTCATGGAGAAAGTACAAGAGAAGGTACTTTCCTCTTCCACTGATGCAAGACTACTGCATGCTGTGCTCACCTTGTGGTTAAAGCAAACGACTTTGGGAAATGTGTATTAGTGACCTCAAGGGAGTTCCCTTCTGTAGAAACTTCACGTTCCTATTTTATTGATTTCATTTGGCTTCTTTCAGGTTGATTTTATCATAGGTCGTGAAATTGAAGTGGGAGGTGTCTACAAAGGGGTTGTGACCACGGTTAAAGAATATGGCGCTTTTGTGGAGTTCAATGGTGGTCAACAAGGGCTTTTGCATATCTCAGAGTTGTCACATGAACTGGTAATTTGATGTGTATGAAAGCAAAAGCGCATCACAATTGTTTAAATTTGACAAACTTTATCTACAATTGTTGCTTCCATTATTCCTGCATCAGTTGGGTTTGTTCTGATTTAATGATAATTATGGCCTTGTGGAGGTGTGGGATATCACATTAATGTTTATGTTAAACTTGAGTAACGACACATATTTTATTTTTTTTGCAATATATTTTATTAATGAATCGCAATGTATTTGCTGAAAATGCCTTGACATGTTTTGGTCAATTTTTGTGCTTTTAAATGCAGCAGCATGTCACTGTTTGGTCACCATATATATACATTATATAGATTCATATAACCAATGGTGCATAAAATATAACCTTTAGAAAATCCAGACTCCTTCTTCACTTCTTCCTATGTGTAAATTTGATATGTATGCACTCTATACTTTATATTCATGCACGCCTTATACTTGTCAGGTATCACGAGTTTCAGATGTAGTATCTGTTGGCCAACAACTCTCTTTGATGTGCATTGGGCGGGACGTGCGTGGTAACATTAAGTTATCTTTAAAAACCACTCTACCTGGAGCCAAATCAAAGAAGTATGATGCTGCTGGTAAATCTGCTTTGGGTACAACAAGCCAAACATCTAATGGATGGGATCCTATTGTTGAAGTCTGTAATGAGCAGGGAAAACAAAATGTTAGCATGGGGGTTGGGGTTCCAGGGTGTGATGAAAGAGCAGGGCAGACCTCCACCCCTGAAAAACCAGCATTCTTGATACGTAGTGCTGCTGAATGTGATGAGGAGGAAAGAACTACCGGAGTGTATTTAAATTGTAAAACTAGTAGTAGCTGTACGACTGCTTCTAAATCTGATGATAAAGAGCCGGTGAATTCTTTAGAATCCGTGAACTCTTTAGAGTCGGGAAAAAGTGGTATTAACTCATCCCCAGAGTTGCGTCATTCTTCCAGAAATACAAAGAAAACCATAAAAGAGAATAAAGAGAAAATAACTTCTTCATCACCAAGGAAGTCTAGGAGTGATTTGAACAACAATGCTGCTAAATTTGTGACTCCGTTAAAAGCAAATACGCTGAAGCTTGGAATGAAGCTCACTGCCAAAGTGCATCAGATACGGAAACTTGGTTTAGTGCTTGATTTAGGTGGTGGGGTCCGTGGAATGTATCGTTTTGAGGTATGTCTACATCTTATTCTTGGAACGTATCGTTTCGAAGTATGATGATCTGCAATGCTATTTATCTTCTTAAATTTTGGTCAGAAACATTGTACATTTCTTCTTGCTATTTGGTCCTTACATTTCTTCATGGAGCTTTTTATTACTCCCTCCGTCGCATAATTTTCTCACTTCTTTTTTGGGACGTCGCAAAATCTTTCCTCCCGTTCTCTTTTGAAGAATGTTTTCTTGATCCATTTTCTTAGTAAGCGTGCCAAGCAGTTAGTCCATGCAATTTTCGACGCAATTTTCTCTATGGGTCATCTGAGAACAGTCTCTCTTGTGCTATAGTACCGAGGTGAGATTGCGTACACCCGACCCCCTTACCCTACCGTAGGTGGGAGCCTTTGCGGCACTGGGGTAATGATGATGATGAGTAAGCGTGCCAAGCAAAACTAGGAATAATATTTTGGAGTTTCTCACATGGCTCCGCATCCCTTTCCACACATTTTAGACGACTCACATCACTATCTACTGCTTTTCTTTGTAGGCTGGTGCCGAGAGGGTCTTTGAGGTTGGTGATGAGGTGCTGGTGAAGTGCTCAAGTTTTTCAAGCAAAGGTGTTCCAGTAATGTCACTGGTCGAAGACTCGCAGGATGAATAATCATCTAAAGACGAAGGCTGGAACTTTAATAGCAATGAGAACTGCTGATTTGGTGCTACACAATGCTTTATAGCGTGAAGTTTTGCTGACAAACCTTGAACAATACTGATGCATATCAGTTCCTGGCCTTGTTACTTGCTACCTCAAGTAATTTAATTGTTTGGTAGGCTCGCTGACCATCTTGCGTGTGTGAATTTTGATTCGTTATTTATCATACAACTTAGACCACATATTTTTTCTTAGATAATAGTGACGATGTTCTTCCAGGCTGATCTAGCCACTTAAAGCTTGAAAGTATTATTAGGTAGAGGCATGTATAGTTTAGAATGGCTGTTCAAATAACAGCCCCACTGTACTATGTTAAAAGACAGAGATGAATGCATTACTTTTTGTTGTTAGTAGATATTAATAAATGAAATACACGGCTATATAAATATATAATGTTATTTATCAAAAGCATCTTTTTTAAACCAATGTAAAAAAATTATTTTATACGGAGTATTTTTTACGTGCTTGTCTTTGGAAGGTGAAGGATAAAGAAACGCACATGAAAATGTGGACCATCAAGAAATGTACATAAGTTGTTTTGTCTACTTCCTTTTATTAAGGATAAAGCAATAGTTTTCTAACAAAAATGCTTATGTTGTTACACAAGAAAAATAATCTTTTTATATATGGTTGCCATTTTTTTCTTTGGAAGGCTGATCGATGAACCCGAGTCGGTTCTGGGCCAAACATTCTGGAAAAAAGCCTGGCTTGAACCGGCCCGGTCTATGCCTATCGATGATAGAAATGATGAATCTTAAACTTATTGAGGAGTGAGCTAGTGACGCTCTCACTTATCAACAACAACATCCAAGCCTTTATCCCAAAAGAATTTGGGGACAAAAGAATTTGTGCAATTCTTATAATGCAAATGAAAATGACGCTCTCACTTATAATGCAAATAAATTAAAAATGAAAAAAATGACAAATAGTAACTTCAAATGTAGTACTATATGATTATTTCAATAAAGAGTGGACAAAAATGTGATTTCTCAAAAAAAAAAAAATGACACGCCATCCCTGAGGGCTCCCCAACCCCAACCGGTGAACCGGACGGTACGTTGGAAGGATGAAAATTGGACTATAATCCCAATCTGACAGATAAAGAATGAGACTCTGTCCTCGGTACTTGAAGAGGCTCTATGCATTTTTAGAATAATAACCTCTTATCGCAGTTGCCGGGATTCGAACCCGGGACCCAACCCTAGTGGCACTCCCTCGCTATCAGTTGAGCTACGCCCATCGGTAAAATGTGATTTCTCATACGTATCAGTCATGACTCATGATAGTAACTTAGTGACTAATATTATGTTTAATTTTATATATCTGTACAAATGTAACCATGAGTGTATAGTCATAGTAATTTTAATCACATTTTTGTCTTAATTCTTTTCAAAAATCTTTCAAGAGAAACTTCAATAAAAATTTACGAATAGCGAAGAAAAAATATATTTTTCTTTTAAATTTTCTCAAACATGTGGTTAATTTGAAGATGTTGTATCAGCTTGAGTTAAGATTCGATCAAATTCAAACTTTTAACATGTGAAATGGATAAATTTGGTTTGCTTATCAAGTCCAGGCAAGAAGTAAATGTATGCATGGACTCGGGCCGGGCCTACGCCCGGCCGGGCCGCTGGTTTGTAAGTGATGGGCCTGGGACCGGCCCGAGGTCTGGACGGTTCCGGTTCGGGCCGGGCCACCCGCCCGAGTCACGGGTCGGGCCACCCGCCGGGCCGAGCCGGTTAAATCCATTTTTTTTAATAATTTATACTTTATAGTTTTATACAAGTATTAAAAACAAACTTCAAGTGCATTTATTTGAAATGAAATAGGAACTACATTTGACAATTAAGAAAAAAATACAATATGAAATACATTTTGTAAATTGTAATCAATCGGAACTTCCCGCACCTCCCGGTCCTTTGGCTTTGTCACACGACATAATATGCTTCATTACCATCCTGTATCCGCGTGAAACCTCCATGCTACACTTTTTTCCGCAGCATTTGCAAGTTGCGAACCACATCTCGGTCCTCGGGTCCTTCTGCTTATCAAAATTATACCGTATAACGGCATATTGACTTTGCATCTTAAAAATGGTAGATATAATAATTCTACAAATACTAGAATAGATGGAGATGAAGATGGAGAATGGAGATTATAGATTGGATGCTGGAGAAGATGTGTATAAAAATGTTAGAAAATAAGAGTATTTATAGAATTTATATTTAGACATGGACCGGTTCCGGTTCGGGCCCGGTCGGGCCTCGGTTCAAGAAGGGGAGGCCCGGAACCGGCCCGGGTAACCCCTGGGTTCGGGCCGGGCCTCGGTTCTATTTTTTTTTTTGGTTTTTTCTAGTTAACCCCCAACCCTCCCCCTCACCCCCAAACCAACCCTAACCACCTCAAATGGCCCAAAATACACAGCCCAACCCAAAAACTTAAAAAAAATTCAAAAAAAAAAAATTGACCCGGACCGGGCCCGAACCGGCCGGGCCGGTTTACCTTTTGAAGGGCCCGAGCCCGAACCGCCATCCCACCGGGCCGGTTGGCCCGAACCGGGCCCGGAACTGGTTCACCGGGCCGGGCCGGGCCGGTTGGCCCGGCCCGAGTCCACCCCTATTTATATTGGAGAATAAGAGAATTTGAGAAGATGAAGATAATTAGAGAGTAGAGAGTAGAGAGTTAAGAGTAGGATTTATGAAGAGTTGGAGAAGAGATATGGAAAAATGTTTAAAATTGGAGTATTTATAGTTTTTTTTTACCCCACCCCCACACCCCCACCCCCCAAACCGCCCGGACCCCCCTGCAGCCCACCCAACGGCTATATAGCCGTTTGGGTAGTCCCCAGCCCACCGCCCAACGGCTAGTTTGGCTCAAAAGTCCAAAACATTTTTTTTTTAAATCTGACCGTTGGACCCGGACCCGGGCCCGACCCGGCAGGGTCAACTTTTTTCAGAACCGAGCCCGCCCCGCCCTCACTGCCCGGTTCGGGTCTACACCTGGTCCCGGGCCCGCACAGTAGCGGGTCGGGCCGGGTCATGGGGCGGGTGGCCCGAACCGAATCCACCCCTAAATAAATGAAATGCTATCATTGAGGAAGAAAAAGAAACATTATTTATTTTAGTATTCTTCTATTTGCTCTAAGAAAATGCTTTTCCTCCATTTTCACTTCAAGTGAGTTTGAGGAGATTAAACACAAATATTGATTGATATTTGATGGGTAATCAAGCATTATTTTTATTAGATAAAAACATAAAATTATCAGTTGTAAGTTATGTTCATGCATGCCTTACAAATCACAGACAGTATACATAGAATTTAATACAAAAAAAGAATAACAGATAATCTTAATTTACATAAGTGGATCACAACCTTTGGAGTATCTTAATATACGTGAAGGTTAAAACTTAAAAACTTATCTTGCTTTATTATTAGAAGATAAATTTGCCCTAAATGAGACTAAAACTTTAAGGAAATTCCAAAGTAGGACTACAAGTTTACTATTCTCAAAATAGGACTCCATATTACATTTTTGCCCTTCTAATAACTAAACCCAAAAGCCCAGCTCATCTCCGACAAATTCAATGACGACATCTCTCCCTCTCCATCGAACACCATCGACTAGCCTCCCTGTCTCTTCGCCTGCGATTTTTCCACCACCATGGATCTCAGCGGCACACCTATTTGACGACACCTGTTCGGTGATTTTTCTGGCGAACACTACCAAAAAATACCCGGCTTGTCACGAATTTTGTCACGGCCAGCAATTCAACAAAGTTTTTTTGTCGCGGACTTTGTCACGGACATTATCCGTGACAACCCGGGCGTGACAAACTCTTTGTCACGGATCCGGAACCGTGACAAAGTTTTTTACGTATTAGTCACGGCCACTTTCCGTGACAAAGTTTATCACGGATTAGTCACAGCCACCAATATTGTCATGGAACTAAAGTTTACTAATTTAACTTTGTTAATTTACATTTAACTAATATTGTTAAATATTATCAACTCACAATAATAATTCACACTAAACTAATGTTTCAATCCTAACTTAAATCACTATAAATCCTAAATTAAGCATTAAAAATAATTGCTAATAAACAAACCTAATAATTTTATAATCCCATTTCAATTAACTAATATTTAAATTTAACTAAATTACGTTTATAGTTAAATATATTGTTAATAAATTAACAACCTCACGAGTTTAACAATTTTAATTATTTAAAATGAAAAAATTAATACATATTAAAAAAAAACACAATTCAAATGACATACATTATCTGCATAAATAAGGAAAATGATAATCTGATAGATTACATCCTTCAATCTTTCAACAGATACTATATTGTACTTTGATTGAATTTTAACTGGTATGAGTCGAATGAAACTACACTGCCATATATAGAAAAAATTGTCACGGATTTTGTCACGGATAAATCCGTGACAAACAATTTTTCGTACAACGACATTGATAACGTGACCGCTCGAATATCAATTATTGAGTTTTGTCACAGACTTTGTCACGGACGGATCTGTGACAAATACTTTTTGAATTTTGTCACGGATTTTGTCACGGATCCGTTAGTGACAAACGCCCAGAAGTGAAAATTTTTTGGCCGGAGCAAATTGCCGGTCACCAGAGGCTATTTGTCACGGCTTTTAATTATGATAATGTCATAATTATTGGTTATTTAATTTGACAAAATGCCACTTTTATGGTTGAGAATGTCATAATTATTGATTATTTGAGAAAATGACACTTTTATGGCAACACGTTTATCAAACTGACAATCTCACTTTGAAATGCCATTGCATCTGTAAGATTGTAATGCCATATTTTTTGCATTTTTGTCAAATGATATCATTTTTTAGACACTAAATGTATATTGAATGCCTTTTTTTATTTTTCATTTTCTTCTCATATTTTAAATTTTTAGTTGTAATCTATTGGTTACATAATTTTGTACAAAAACATGAAATTGAAAATTTATTTATTTTATTAAAAAAATCTATATTTTCACAATCTGAAAATGCTACTTTTCTATACGAAAATGCCATTCAATATTACTTCTTGGCATTTTCTATATCTGAAAATGCCATTCTATATACCTAAAAATGGATTCTCAAATATATATGAAGTTGCACGTGAGAAATTAAATAAAAAAAAATGATGGAACCAGACCTTATCCTAAATGTACATTTGAATTGTGATAAAGTTGCTAGCTAGTGTGGAATAAGTGATCATCTCGCACGATTTGTACAACGGTGGTCTCACCATATGTATGCAGCGGTGGTCTCACCGACGACAACGGCGGCGTCCTCATTGTGCAGTGGCGGCAGCGGCAGCCTCGCTGAGCATTGGCGGCAACAGTCTTGGCGTTGGTGGTTGGGGAAAAGGGTATGAGTGGTGTCGATGGTCCGGAGGTCTCGCTGCAAGGACTCATCGATGCAGATGCAGAGGTTTTTATTTCAATAAAGGCACATTTGTCTAATCATTAATTAGGAGCTTTATTTAGGGAAGAATAAACTTAACGGTGCTTATACCGTGAACCGGTGTATGGTGAGCACCATGCACCCTTTGTTATTTTTTATTTTTCCTTTTGTTAAAATTGTTAATAATTTTTTTATTTTTGATCCGATTTTTATAAAATTTATATCAATTTTTTTTTTTATTTTTCATGATCTTTCAAATGAGACCAATATTGCCTATTTAATTTTAACATATTAACATTTGCGTGTAAAATATATGTAACTTTATGTGTTAAAATATGTAACTCACGTTCAGTCAGGCCAAATGCAACTCGTGTGTATAAATATGTAACTTTACGTGTAAAAATATGTAACTTTACGTGTAAAAATATGTAACGTTACGTAAAAAAATATGTAACTCGCGTTCAGATAGGTCAAATGCAACTCGTGTGTATAAATATGTAACTCGCGTGTATAAATATGTAACTTTAAGTGTAAAAATATGTAATTTTATGTGTAAAAATATGTAACTCGCGTTCAGGCAGGCCAAATGCAACTCGTGTGTATAAATATGTAACTTTACGTGTAAATAAATGTAACTTTACGTATAAAAGTATGTAACTCACATGTATAAATACATAATACAATAAATTTTTTATATACACAATTTTAAGATGAATTGTGGTTTACACGATTATTTTTCTGTATTAAATTTAGTTCGGTTTTCCTTATAATCCAATAATCATTTATATAATAGTTCCATAATTTGTTAGAATTACATAAGCAATATTGGTCTCATTTGATAGATCATGAAAAAAAAAAAATTGATATAAAATTTATAAAAATCAGATATCAAATAAAAAAGTTATTACAATTTTTAACAATAAAAGAAATAAAAAATAATGGAATGAAGCCACTTCATGCTACGTCCTTTTGAATGAAGCCACTGCATGCTGCGTCGTTTTGCAACCGGGCGCACCATCCTCATGGTGCGCCGGTTGCACGGTATAAATTGTGTAAACTTAATGTCCTATTTTTGCACATTTACTATGTTTTAGTTCCAGTTGGGGAATTCTCTTAGAAGATACTCCCTCCGTCCCAATTTGATTTGCAAAATTTCCTATTTTGGTTGTCCCAAAATGATTTTCCACTTTCTATTTTATGTATGTAAATAAGAATAAAGTAACAAATTTACCCTTACTTTTACTTTTTTTCCATTAACTTAAAGTCATCTACTTTTAGAAAGATGGACAAAAGTGTAAAAAGCAAACATCATTTATTGTTATTCCTTAATTCTTGTACCAATCAAAGTTTGCAATTCAATTCAAGACGGAGGGAGTACATTATACACAACCTAACACGGACTCAGCTTCTCTAGTATTGCATGGACTATGGGCGATACTCTTTCATGGATCTATTTTAAATTATGAGTTGTGATTGTAAATGTACCGCTTGAAGAGCATCTTTATACATAATATGTTCAATTGGTATTTGGCAAGACTTTTCACTTTTTATAGTTATGTGGTTGAAATTTCAACAATAAACAAAAAGAAAAAGTATCATGTCTAAAAAGTAAAAAAGCATTTCACTCAATAGACACATGAAATAAATTATTCAGTTTGAATAAATTTTGTATGCAACTATGCATGGACCTAGAACCGTCTCCCACCTTTAGGAGCACATGAAAAGTAATAAAGATTCTAGTTAGCGAGTCATCATCATTATCTCAGTACCGCAAAGGCTCCAATATAATGTTATATACATCAAAGAAACAAGGGTAATAAAATGTTTTATTAAATGTCAACAACGTTACCACTATAGTAGTCCCGGTAAGAATTAAGATGTTTCAAATGTTTCAAACAACCCATTCTAAAGCTAAGTGCCACCTAATTTTCTCCTACTTATGCATTAGATATGGAGGCGAATAGTTTTGCTACTATTATAATTGTCATTACCTTCTAGCCGGATAAAATCCCCAAAGTGGTGAACCCGAGCTCTAGTCTACCGAACGTATTTATTTGATGATTCGGATTGTATTTAGGTCCATCGACCTACCATAGTCACCTTTATTTGGTGACTCGGGCATCTAAAAATGAGAGTCGCTATCGGCTGTGCACGACATTATGACTAAAAGCGGTAAACGATACACCTCATTCTCCGAGACGCTAATCGCGTCGTCCAAAAGCTGTTGCCATGAACACCGCACCTATTATGTTCCACTTATTTTGTAAATTTAAGCAAAAGATACCGCATATCATATCAACCCCTTAGAGCAAAACGCTCAGGTATGGCCGACACAGCACATCGTATCGACCCCTTAGAGCGAAACGCTCAGGCATGACCGACGATGTCCCAGGACGAGGGGCCCGCAAACGGCCCACGTCTTGAAATGGGAAACTCACCGCGTCGTCCTCACGCTAAATTGCAGGACGACAGACCTGAAAGCATGGCCGATGTGACAAAATCCCCAAACTTGGGGTTGGGAAACGGCAGCCGTCGGTAACCGACCAAAAGCTTTAGCCCGCGCCGTAAATAGACGACGGGACCTCCCCAAGATCATGGGATGATCCAGTAGGAATCCCTACCGGCCAAGGGAATAGCAACCCCCTCGGCCGAAGCCTGAAAGAAGGATATCCACTCCTCGCTCAAAGAAGTAAAGAGGAAGAAAATAAAAGAGGGACAACCGAGGACCGTGCACTCGCCGGCCTCGAGCGAAATCCCCACAAATCAAAAGAGGGAAACTGAGGACCGCGCACTCGCCGACCTCGAGCGATAAAAATAACATCCCACAAATCAATCCACATATTTGGCTAAGTACATATCAGGCAAATACTATGCATTATGAATGAAGCATGACAATACATACGGATCAGACGAGCGCCCAACACCGTTCCTCATCTTCAGACGAGCGCCCAACGCCGTCCCTCATTTTGAGACGAGCGCCCAGCACCGTCCCTCATCTTCAAACAAGCGCTCAGCACCGTCCCTCATCTTCAGACGAGCGCCCAACGCCGTCCCTCATCTTCAGACGAGCGCCCAGCGCCGTCCGTCATCTTCAGACAAGCGTCCAAGCATAGTCCATCATCGGAACGGCTCCGCCGTCCTTTATGTTCAGTCCGGCGTCAACGCCTTTCCCTTCATCACATCACGACCAGCCCCTCATCCTCTACGTGATTATCTATCTCAAGACCGGCTTCCTCAGTGCCGAGAGTCTTGAGCTAGCGATCGGGCTCGCCATCCCCTCCTGG